AATTTGACCGGAAGCCAGTGCAAGGACTCCAGGATAGGAGTAATGTGAATACTTGCACTAGCCCTGGTCAGGATTCTGGTTGATGAATTTTGGACATACTGCAGCTTGTTCAGAGTAGATTTAGATACCCCAGGGAGTAGAGCATTGCAGTAGTCAATTCGAGAGAATACAAATATGTTGATAATTGGACCCCTGAGGCAGAATCGGTGTTTTACCGACTTAAAGTGGGTTCTTTTCACCAATCAGGAATGTTGGGAGTAGATCACCAAGTGCTATTCCTAGGATGCAAAATTCTATCTCATTAAAAAAATGCTGTATAAGTGATAAGGTCCCAGTGAAGTAAACTATTGGTATTGTCATGATAACTAATAGAGTTCTACTCTTCCAGTTTCTGGTCGTATCATTTTGGATCTGTATCCCTGTATCTTCACCATGATACTTTAGGTGGGAACACTCCATAGTATTGCTGATATTTTCAAAATGCATTGTCCCATGGCAGCTGAAACATTCCCTTTGGGCTTAGCTTGGAGGGAGGATATGATCATCTCTGTCTCTTGGACAGGTTTTGGATAAGCTTTAAGCTACTGTATGATTCTGACGTACAGTAGCACATGGGATTTGAATATGGAATTTTGGTAACCGTATTCTCAGAAAGTTGTAAACTGTGTCAGAGGTAATGCAGTACAGCTGAGGAAAAGGATTAACTCTTTTTAAGAAGCGTCACAAACGACCAGTTTGTTCAATCTTCCACAGAATCTCATCACAGAACAGCTGTAGCTCTTGGGTGTCTATCAGAAATTTCTGAAGCTGATTCTGTAGAAGTACAAAATTATTTCAGAAAGAACATGTCAAGCCCTTGAATACAGAAAAGGTTTTGAACTAAAGAATTGAGAAAAGTATGGATGTTCTGAGTATTGTGTTAGTTGAGAACTAAAGGCAAAAGAAACAGGTCTTCAACTGTTTACAAAAAAAAGTGTACTAAACACAAAGACATATCTCATCTCCCAGCTAAATCTTAGTTGTGGGAATTTCCCCTGGTGGCACTACTTGTACTATAGGGAAATCTCTCATACTATCTGAAGAATTATAATTAAAATTTATTATTTAAAGACAATGGAGGATTAATTAGCTACTGTGGAAGCTGACTTTTATTAATGTACACTATATACTGTATACAGTATATGGCCATGTTTTATTACTTTGATCATGCAAATCTGGAAACCTCAAGAACTTGAGCAAACATTAGACCCTGTACTTTAATTGAACACATGCATCTTGCAGCTCACTACAGGACAAGCATCATTGTAGTGTATTTCAGAGTTCCTTCTTTTAAAATATTTTTTTCAGATGTGAATGCATTAATAGTTATTGCTTGAATACTTTAGGAAGTTATATTTATAAAATAATTTAGAATATTTTTTTGGCAGGAAGGGTATGTGATAGATCAGCTCCAGAATATCCAAACCCAAGGGTGCAGCTGTTGACATTCAGGGTAAATGGTAGCATCAGTACATGAGCCAAGACCTCCTTTGTCTGTCTTATCTCAGAAATGACATTCAGAACAATGAGATACTCCCACACAATAGACTTGCTTGTTTATTATTGGATGCAAGACCAGATGGCACAAACTTGCCTTATAACCCAGCAACTAGGATTGCATGACCACTGTCCTACAATAAATTGTGACAGTTCTGACCTTTGCTGATTACTGATAACATCAATTTTGTATGCATTCTAATTAAAAAGAAACGTCAAGGCTTCAGTGCTGGGCACATTTACTCATCAATTACTATCTTATCATGAACAGGTGTCTTTTAGTAAGAAGTCAAACTATAGAGGTAGTACCAAATTTTCTTTTTTAAGTCTTGCATGCATATTTTTCAAAGAAAACATTTAAATAACATTTTCTCCCTACTAATTACATTTGTTTGACAATATTTCATGCCACTAGGACACAGAGAGTTTACCAGGGTGATCCAGGAATGGGTGTTGAAGCCACAGGTCTGTTGTCCTTTGGAGTACTTGCTTCCTCAAGGGAGATATTAAGAGCATCATCCTTCAAGAATCCAAACAAGCATTTGTGTGTAAGCTTACATCATAGTGTTAATACACAATAAAGAGCAGTGAATGTATAAACAAGCTTACCGTTTTCAGCACTATGCCGAATTTCCAATACAATTTGGCTAATATTTGGAAATATGTTAAAGTACATTCCATGTAGGAAAACCATTTTTAGATTATAGAACATCAGTCTAGACACTAACCATCATGCAGACCTTTTTTTTAAGTGTCTTTGGCACAGGTTTGCATATTCTTTGAATGTCCAATTATGTGTCTACAGGGCACATGGTTTCCACCAACTTTTGGAAGATTTTATTGCCACCAGCTACAGTACATCACTCTGCAGCTCACAACTGGCAACCCACTGAAGCTCAGCAGGTGTGAGATTGGTCAATACTTCATTGACCAATTGGTCAATAATCCCCATATATGAATTGGCTTAATCTATCTATTCTCCTTCCCACTGATAGCTGATGTGTGGTGGAGGGGAGTCCCCATTACCTGTAAAGCATTTGAGTGGAGTGTCCAGAAAAACACTAAGTGTAAGGAATTATTACTACTTATTCTCATACAATTATTTCAAAACAAATGTTTTTAAATGGGTCATACCTTTACTTCTCAGAAACATACAGTAGGTGTTAATTATTGGGTCACCTGTTTCTGGTACTTTGCACAATCCCCTCTGGCATAAATAGCATCTTAAAGTCTTTCCCTATTACATTTAATAAAGTTGGAGAACAAAATGGGTGGAATCTTGGACCATTATTCTATGTAGAAATTTTCCAAATTATTTATGTCCTTGGGTCTGAGCTTATGTACTGCCCTCTTTGATTGAAAACCTGTGGTTTGAATTGAGTTTATGTCCGGAGACTGAGATTCATTAAACAACCATTTCCTTGTTGACTTTGAGGCGTGTTTTGAGTCACTGCCATGTTGGAAGGTCCATTGGCTACTAAGTTGCAACTTTCTGGGGGAGGCAACCAGGTTTTCTGCCAGAATACTCTGATACTAACAGTATATGACATCATGAACTTCACCATGACCTCAGGGTCAGTGGTAGCAAAACAGCCCCACAACATCAAGTCTAGCACCATATTTCACAGTGGATATGTTCTTTTCTTTGTATGTCTCCCTCTTCTGAGACTATACGTTCCAATAGTGTGGGTGCCCAAGGAGGACAATTTTGGTCTTATCTGACCATAGCACCTGTTTTGAATCAAAGTCCCAATGGCATTTATCAAAATCTAGCTGCTTCAGTTTGTTTTCTTGTTGTAAGGGCTTTATTCTGGCAACCCTTCCAAATAGCCTGATGGCATGAATGTATAGTACTGTTGATTCGGTGACTTTGCGAGCCCAAAATGCAACCAGACACTGCTGTTCTCCAACTTGTCCTTGGATTATTTTTTGCCTCCCTCACCATCACCTGACTGTACATGGGAACATGATGCACTTGCGTCCTCCACCTGGTACGTTAACCACTGTTTTAGTGGTTCTGGAATTCTTGATTATTGCCATACGTGTTAAGAGGTGTTTAACATAAGTTACATTTAACTTATGTATTTTTGTATCCATTTCCCGGTTTGTGAAGCTCAAAAACCATTTATCTCTTTGATTTGTCACTTATTGATCTTATTCCATAGTAATGGATAACAAAACATTTTCTCATTTACTGTATGTTACCTTTTTTGTTACCAAGATGAAACAAGAAGTCCTGAGTTGCATTTAAGTAAGCAGGATTTTGTTACAGATTACATTTTCTTTGATTTTCTTATAAAAAACATTGGGTATCCAACAATTTTGATGTCTATGTTTTTGAGGAGAAATAGTACTACTCATTTAAAAAAATATTTTGCTTTCTAAAGTGCACCAATAATTTTTGAATCCACTATATATAACATTCTGTAGGATTTAACTAATAAAACATGCTGTGCTTTGTCTTTAAAATCTTTTCAGAATTTTTACTGTATCTTTATATTTTTAGTTGATATAAATTAGTTCCACTCAATTTACTATATGGTATGAAAATAAATCCAGGAAAAGCCAAAGGGGTGTAAAAATAGTCGATTGTTCTTCCCTCTTACCATTGAAATAAATTTAGCTGATATTGCATTTACTGTATGTGTAGTTTTTTCTTCATTACATTATATATTTAGTGAAGACATGATTGTTTAAAGGAGTGCAAATCTAGGACTAATCCACTATAGTTTACCCACATCCCTGATATCAACATTTGGGTTTTCAGACCTTTTGGTTAACTACTGTATATAACTACTGAATAACTGCTATGGTCATTCTATTAAATACTGTATATTATTTCAAATCAGGGATGCCCAATTCTGGTCCTCTAGAGGAACAAGCTTGCTTTTGTAGGTCTATCTAAATCCATAAGCAGTTTTAATTGGGATAATTCAACCCTCGCAGTCTAAGACTCCAATGTATGCCTCTCACTAAGGAATCTCAAACTTAGTCCTGCATGGTCTCTGTATATTCTGGTTTTAAACCAAGCTTGAATTCTCAATTAGCTTAATGTATTTAATTAAATGTATTTATCCACAGAGCTGACAACTCTTAAATATGCCACATATTACAGGTACAGCACTTTCAGAAAGTCGTGGTCTTGGGAAACAGTACTGCAAGTTTGTCAAACAATTAAAGCAGTTTAGTAATTCACAGCTTGGGGGGAAGAAATGAAAGCTAGAAGACACTGTGGCTCTCCAGCAATAAAGAGCTACAGTTGTTAATGACTTCTGTCTCTGCACATTTTCATTTTAAATCAGTTCTTAACTACCTAATTGATCCAATTTGTGGCTTAACTGGGATATACAGTACAATAGATATAAATAGATGTAAAATACCAGTATATTTTAGTCCTAAAATTCAAGAGAATAAGAGCTACAAAACTTGTTGGACTGTTGCCCTTGAGGATTGAAAATGTGAAGTCTTGCTTTAAACAAATTACTGAACAAGTGGATAATGCGTTGATACCTTAATACTTGGATTGATTCCTTACTTTGAAGAAGCCTGATTTGGTGTATTGAGGTTTTTTATTTGAAAATCAGGCTATTTAGACCATTTCAATTGCCCATAAATTTCATCAGTCCTAAGTAATAGATAGAAACACCACTAACAAATGTTTTAAATCCGATTAGACCTTCCAGGGACTAAGTTACTTCTGGTCTTTATTCCATCAAAGTTCTCCATTACTTGGTTATTTTAATCATTTAATTAATTGTAATATTTTTAGTCAGATTCCAAGGTTAAGGTTCACAGGAAACTATTTTTAGTGAAGAGAATATTTTGAGTAAACAACAGTATAAGAAATTAAAAATCCCATAAATATGTTAATTCAAACACTTAAGCTTTTCAAACCCAATTAACAACTACTGTATAAAAAAACTTTGACACCTCTGGTTTTAGTTTATGAAACCCTTTAAAAAATCTTAGAGAAGTTAATCAATTTTCAAATTTGCTTATGCAATACAGGATTGTGGTGGCGTCGAGTCTAACTTGGAAATCAACAGGCACAAGGTGGGATACGCCATGGATAAGCCAATCCACTGCGGGGCACCCACAGACAGTCACACTCACACCAGGGTCAATTTTTAAAGAAGCCAGTTAACTTGCCAGCATTTCTTTGGACTGTGGGCCCAGGGCCCCAACTCTGCCCCAACTCTCTAAAATACTTCTTTGTAAACCCTACTAGACTATATACTAGTATACAATCATAAAGTCAATGATGCTGGAAATGCATGGCCAACTTTGCACATTAGGGACAGTATGTTACTGACTTTGTTTTTGTTTGTCTTAAAATGGGTAGAACATTTAGTTATTTTTTTACTAACCACTATGAAGAGATTATTCTGGAGGAAAACATAATAAAATATGGAGTTTCCCTGTATGAATGTCACTTTTTCCATCCTGGTTTTCCACTGGTGAAATCTGACTATGTATGAAAAAGTGAAATCTTCTTTTGACTCCAGTAAAATAATGTGAAAAGTTCTCTTTGTGAACTCCATAGTCACTTGAACCAAAAAGTGGTGAAATATTTGACTAGAATTCTGGATATACAGACCTCACTTTTGCTTTCAAGTGGTTTAGCCTTCCAATCTGCATGCAGCACGAATGTCCCAGTATGTGAAGTTCTATTCACTTCAACATTTTTATCTGTAAATATTAAACAGAAAGACTTTTTGGCATTGTGAACATAATTTTCTTCATTACTACAGTAAGATTCAATATACAGTATAACCTTATATAACAGTGCATAACCTTATTATATTATTCAATATATAACCTAGAACTTTAAATTAAGATTCTGAATTTTGTATTTAGCTTTGTTAAAGAGGAACTGGAACAAAACAGTTAAATGTTAATGTATTAACATATCAGCTGTCAGTTACTCTGGAGAATCAATGTCTTGATATACACCCAGTAAAGTGCCTTGCAAAAGTTTATACATCTAGTAAAGTTTCCTTGCAAAATTAGGTAGTTTAGGCAACCTTACAATTATATTGAGAATCTACACAAATGTGCTCCATACTATAAAGCTACAAAATGCTTTTTTTTAAATGCTGACAGGTTCTCTTTTTAAGAACCCCTTTGCTATGTCAACCCTAAATCAGTTAGGTGCAAAATAATGCTTTGAGAGGGAATAAAAATCATATAATGGTCTTTGTGTATAAAGAGCAGTTTAATTTGCTTTAGAGTAAGTGCAAGTTTCTCCAGACATTAAAAATTAAGCCACAATTCGCATAGTGATGCAAAAAGTCATTAAGTTATGAACACTAGTCAATATCAAATTGTTTAGCAGTACAGGTGAAGTATTACTTAACTCCATTTATTGCACTAAGATTCAACATTAAGAAGTGGAGTGGAAATCATACTGCCTAAACACTACTTGTATCAGGTCACCCTTCCAAATTGAGCAGCTGGGTAAGCAGGAGACTGCTTAGAGATGCCACTGTAAAATTAAGAGTGGCTTAAAAAAAATCATATTTGGAAGTCAATGGTCATCCTGGTAATTATATTGAATTGTATTATATCCAGGTTCCAGCACAAACCTGGCCTATATGAGTGAGGAGCAAGAAAAAAGCCTTTATGGTAAAAGACTGACAACCTTAAGTCTCATGATGTATATCATCCCAATTGTCAAGCACATAGTGGCAGCATTAATTTGTAAAAACACTGTTTACCAGGGATAAGGAAGCCTATCAGGACTGAGGTGCAAAGGCAAAGGATGGCAAAGGATGGTGCAAAGGCAAAAACAAGGAAAACACCTGAACTTTGTAAAGAGGAAATGGCCTTGAGTAGTCCAGGCCAAGTCCTGGTTTAAATTTAAAAGAATTAATGGGGAGGCGAGACAATTGCAGTCTCTTCGCTATTGCCAAGGAACCCGTCAGAACTGGAACAATTTTCCATTAAAAAATAAAGCAAAGCTAGAAGAGACCTATGCAAACCTACTGATACCAATAATTGTGGTGCATTTTCTTTGCAGGTCTTGCCACTATTCAACCTCCTTCACATATAACAGTGTTCTATTTGATTATTATTCTTTAGAATGAAAAACATATTACTTGTAGTTAATTAAAGTGTGATTACTGGCAGGAGATGAATACTTTTGCAAGGCACAATGTACAAGTTCCTTGTATACTGTATACAAGTTGTTTTTTTAATATACCTGTGAACTGCTAAGTCAATCAGAAAACCTGTTGTCACATAATAGATGGTTAAGGCTCAGATGGTTAGGTACTTTAAACTCAGCCCTTGTTCAGCCACATGTTCCAATCTATACAGTTTTCCTTTAGATCCCCAGGTCTGTTCAAAGTGAATTAAAATCATTACCTTGGTTACAACTGAATAAATTGAAAGGTTATGTTCATAATCATGTAAGCTGTACTTCATGACATCATTATACACAACTCCAATAATAAAAATAAAATGAAGTATTTAGGTTTTTCCATTCAAACTTGCTTCATATCCAATATTAGATCATTTACTTATTTTGTCTTCTTTTGTAGTTTTTATTAATACATTGTACTGTATGTTACCAAGGTCCTTGTCTTCCAAGGTTTTATGCTTTCTAAATTTTTATATTTGTATTCTTGCTCTTTAGAATCTTAACCACCTGCTTTCTGGAAAAGGCTATTGTGCACCCAAAATGGACACAAAAGTTTGTGGGTTTTTTTTCAACAAAGGAATAATGAGTTGAAATTTTGTGGAAGCACTGGGGCCACTACTGAGTAATATTTGGATTTCAAGGAAATTATGGAGATGGGTTTTGAATGTCTCAGCATTCTAGACTAGATGCTGCACAAATCAGTTCAACGGGAATATGCATGTGCCACAGGGACTAATAACAATGAGCATTCTGCAATGGGTACATAAATCATTTTAAAACATAGACAAAGGTATCACTAGACACATAAACATTGTAAAAATTGAATCAATATTTCATATTCTACTACAGTAAGTGCTTGAAATGGATATAAAGCAAGTGAACTAGTAGCTTTTAACCTTCATGCAAGGATTGGCATGATGTGTCCGCAAGAAAATGAAAGGGTAACTTGTCATAGAACTTTTACAACTTTCATTGTGTGCCCAAGAGTCCAAAGTTATTTTCTGTAAAATGAAATAATATACTAGGAATAGACTATAAGAGATCAATAGGTTCAGCAAATATGGTGGTTCTCATCTGAAGCTACATTCCCAAAAAGGGGGAACTACATTCCCCAGAGGAACTGCAATCCTCTGTCACCTGGCTATTTGGAGAAATGTCTGATTGATTGTTTTGAAGCTGGAAAGAAACAAAGCTTCCCAGCTGTGATTTAGAGAAGGATTGAATAAGTCAGTCAGAGCTCAAGAGCTAAGGATTTTGTCTGGTATTTTGTTTTTGCATTTTTGTTCTATGTTCCTGCATTGTAAATAAAGAGCTCTTTTTTTTTACTTGAAGCTGCCTTGTGTGTCCATTTTCTCTGAGAGCCTGCTATTCTAAAGATCCCGTCAGGGCTGCTTTCCCTCCCACCTTTTCCCTCAGGTATGCCACAGTATATAAAACTATTCTGACCATTAATGCAAGAAGAAAGTGGAGCATTTTAACTTCTGTGAAGCCCTAGAGCAGTTATTGATCTCAGCAGAATGGAAATCATATGAGATTCTCTGAAAAAAAAGAAAGATGCCTACGAGTAAAAGAGATCAGACAGCTATCTACTCACATATTAATATCAGAATAATTTAATTCTTTGTGGAACAGAGGGATCTGAGCATTTCAATAACTGATTATACCCAATGTCAGTTAAATAATATTGCTCTAGCTGAAAAGATTTTAACTTCTGTTTGTGACATGCAACAAAATTACCAATCTGATTTGATCAAATTCAATGGCTTTCTGAATGTTTGATGTTCATATTTACTGTACCTTTTTATTAAAGCAATTTAAGAAGTCCAGAACAAATTAATTATCCTAACGGTGACTGTGGTATGAAAACTTACTAGGAAGCAGTACTTTAATAAAACACTATACAAACTAATTCCTGCACCAGTCAACGCACCATGGCACATAAATGTATTGCTTGCTATTTTTTACACTACCAGAAGGTGCGGGCCCTACTTCAGGTAAAGAGAGGATGAAAGGATGACTTAACAGCTGTTGAAAATAGCAACCCTTTTATACACAGATGTCATGTCTAATCCAAAGGGGTACACTAAAGAGTGCTTTAAAATGTTATTCTGAATAGTCATTTTTCTGTGTAGGCATATTTTAATAAAAATAGAATAATCCCTTTGGAAATTAAACAACTTCATAAGTTTAAATATAATGCAGCAATTTTCATTCACCTCAGTTGTATTCAAGGAGTTATGATAGATTTTCTGGAACTGTATAACATTGATGATACTGAAACTATAAAGTTTAAAACTGACATTTGAAGACTATGCACATAAGAAAATGACCTGAAGCTCGTGTGAACAAGTTACAGTACATGTGATGCATTTATTCTCAATTTGTGGAAAAGGCATAAATAAAATGGATGGAAAAGTGGTTCTGATTAGAGTATAAGTAGAGGCTTGTACAATACCTTCAGTAGAATTGCCATATTAAAATATGTATGGTAAAAACTAGCAGTTGTTAACTAACTAGTTTGAATCTAAAATTCAGTGGATTGGAGACACCACCATCATCTACAGATCGATAGGCTGGTACAATCCATTCTAACCTTTTGGCAAATATTTCTGTATTTTTTTATTTGTGTTGCTAAAATTGCTTGGTTACCGCAGATCCCCCCAAATCAGGTCCTTGAGGTAAAGATTTTCAGCAACTTCAACAGCACTGGACCACAGGGAGAGCATTACTTTAGTTTGTTTAAGGCTTAACTGAAGAAATTTAACACTTACGCATGAGTATGAAAGTACTTTTGATCTAAGATCTACAAGACCTGCTGGACTGTTACCTTCTGTAGCTAAACTTTGGCAGACCTAGCTCACCATTCACCCATGTTTCATCAAAAGAATGACAGTTTTCTTTTGGATACAGAAGCCTTTTGGTCAATTTTGCTTAAAAATATCAAAAGGGCTTATTTTGTAGGAAAGCAGTACCAGGTGACAAAAGTTTTATTTAGGATCGTACCTGCTGGTGTTTGGTCTGTCCAGTCACTTGCCACGAAAGTCACAGCTGGTGCCGAGACTGCTGTTATCCTGGTGACTTGTGCAGGCTTCACTGGGCCTATCTGTCCGTCCAAGGCAGAAATAGCCTCTGTGTAACAAACAGTAAGTAAAGTAAGGACTGGGCCAGGCACAAGGCTTGAGCAAGAACAAACCTGAATTCAAATATTAATGGAAAGGTTAGGCACATTTTCACATGTCCTGACCTACCAAGGTAGTTGTGTAATATTTTGGTTTATACCTTAGCATAACTTCATAACTCTTTATTTTTTTCTGTTTCAATGCAGCAAAATCTGCATTATAAAGTACAGAAAAAACACAGCAAAGTGATAACAGTTTGAAGTTACCGGAGGTGAAGGATTTAATTGTAAAGCTTTATGGAGAAAATAACATAAATCCACTTATAGCTCAAATTGTCCCTGGTGCTGAATCACGATTTATTAATTCTGACCTTTATCGTCACGGTAGAGTGCATTAAGTCCTATGAAACAGGGGTAGATTACAACTGGATACTTTGAGAAAAATATGCTGTTCTCCTTAAAAATCTACATCAGCCAGCAGCTATACAGTATCACCCTGCATCTCACATATGACAACCCATGATTGAAGCTGGAAGGTGTTAGGGGGCAAGTAGGGGGCACTCACCCTGCAGTCTGTGGGGGTCCTAATGCCCCAGTATAGTGATGAGGATAATATACTTTAAAAAAAAAAGGTGCTATCCTTCAGATGAGACATAAAATCGAGGTCATGACTCTCAGTGGTCATTAAAAATCCCAGGGTGTTTCTCAAAAAGAGTAGGGGTGTTACCCCTGTGCTTTGGGCAAATTCCCCCTCAGGGCTTTATAATTCGTGGACTCCTAATAATCCCCACTTATGAATTGGCTTCAACACTTCATTTTTATCCCCCATTGATAGCTGATGTGTGATACTGTAAGTACACAGGCACACTTTGGCTGCCATTCCATCATGGTGGAGGGGAGTCCCTATTACCGGTAGAGCATTTTGAGTACAGTGTCCAGAAAAGCGCTATGCTGTACAGTATGTACAGTAAGTGTAAGGAATTTTAATTATTATTATTATTAAAATGTAACAGCCAAAAATGTCTTTTATTTCTACCTTTCAGTATGAGATTAGCCTCTACTTGCTCTAATACATAACTACTTTGTTTCCACTTTAGATGTATAGAATAGCTCAGATAGTGAGTTCATCTAAATTTAAGTTAGTGAATTTGACCCAGACTTCACATATGTTGAAGCTGAACTATTTTAATAAGATGCACTTCCTCATAGAAAGAAATACCTGTTACATTTTTTTTTTAATTGAATTGTAATTGAAATCTGAAGTTTATAACTTTGGCAGATTTTTAAAAACTGAAATACTGTAATGCTTTGGTTTTAGATCTGTTACTGTAAGTCTCAAAATTATTTTGCTCAAGAGATCAAATACCAAACTCCAGGTATATAATGGGTCAGTAATGAACTTTAAATTACATGGAGATTAAATTGACCAAAAGTAATGTTTTGCATTGAGAGCTTTAAGCTTTTTGAGAAGGTGACTCGGGAGCTAAGTAATGAAGGATTCAAGACACTGAATTGATTATTTTTCCTATCTCTGCACACACAAATATGAATCTTTTAAACTTATGATTGCCATTCTGTTTATTCTACAGCATTCAGACTGACATGTAAATTAAAAACAAAAGCAACAAAAGTGGTAGCTGAACTAATCAGGGTTTTCTATAGCTGTCAATAAAGTTATTTGATTTTTTTTAATGTCCTTACATCTGCCACAGATATCTGCTTTTCAAGCTCTCCAAAGAAAAATGCTAGTCTCTTCCCTAAACAAGTCTTATGGTTTGCAACTCGCAATGGAAAACAGACTATGTTGTGAGCTGTTTTGAGCACCTTAGTATACTGTACATGTAGAAGTGGTAACTTCTGTGGTGAGGTCTATTTTCAACATCTACAAATCTACACAAGGTTATACAATATCTGAAATAATTATGGAAAGAAGGGGAAGTTGAGAAATTTGATGAAAATAGGTTTAAACATAATGTGTAATGCATACAAATGCATAATTACAGTAAATATGCACAGACAAACAAATTTATTAAAAGAATTAGTATAACATTATTGCATTTTGCTTTATACAAGCTTGACATCTTGCCTTCATGTTTTATGCAAATATCCTGTAACATTTAAAATTCAACCAATTTGCTTGGCTACGTTTTGTAAATTTCACACTGCCCCATATGGCCTTTGCTATTCATATCAGTAATTTGAGAAGTCGCAGCATCTCTGTTAGTGTTCCATCAGGATACTTACAGGTATGTTCCAAATACAGTAGGTTTTCAACTTTTGACTATACTTTTGAGGTCATTGTCATGTTGAAAGATGAATCCCTGCCTTATGAGATGCATTCCTGAGGTTATATCATTGTGAATAACAACCTTCTTATACCTATCTTACCAGTAGTCAGGATAACCTCAATATTTTGTACTATACAGTAAGTTTGAGATTTAGCCCCACAATTGTATTGATCTGATGTTGTGCTTCTCTGTGGCTGTTGTCTCTACAACATTTGTGTGCTGATTGTTAAACTAATTTCCAGCTCACCATTTAAAAACAAATTACTAAGCACTCTGATATACTGTAACACTATTAAGTAACATTTCATTTTTACAAAAAAGATACAACTATATGTCCTGTAATTTGTATTGTAAACTTATATTTTTATTTCCAGTACTACATGTGTGTGAATGAGTTATTTACAGTAGATATGAATTGTTCATTTCTGTTCTCCAGACATTGCTGATTCGGTTGTCCTCAGGCTTCTTCTGTTTCTTTATGACGCTTCCTTCAGGCACTTATGTCATGATAGACTGTCATTCATCACTAATGATAACCACAATGTATTTCATATAATGCCTAAAGGCAAATCATCTTGACTTGAAATTAGATCTAATTTGATCAAATAGCTTTACGTAGGGGCTGGTCAGAAATTGTCAATGCTCAAGTTAAATAAAATCAAGTCTTAAAGGAATGCATGTTAGATAAATTAAATTTGTTTTTTGATATTATCCTGTCATTTGCTAAAAAAAATAGCTTTAGCTGTAAAAAAAGAGTGCCTGTAAAAGAGAAAGGTCTATCCCATAGATTTCAAATATTGCAGCTTCTCTAATTTAAATACTGTAATTGATAACAACATTACTGAATAAATGATAATAATAGATGTTTAGATGTTTTCTTACAAACATACAAGAAAAACATACAGTACAAGCAATTCTTGATTTTGTCTGAAGAAATACTTATCTAATATTTGCAAAAATATTAATATCAGTCTTATTTCCATCTTCAGTAAAATAAAAAACCTTCAGGAGTAAAATATAGATTGCCCGAATTATAATACAGTATTAAGTCAAATGTAATATTATTAGTATTATACATGGAAATCAGGCATGGAGGTCTAAAGGAAGAAATGGTTATTATGTTTTAATATTTTCTTTCATAGATTGGGAAAAACCATCAATGGTAAAGACAGCTGAAAAAGACGTGATTGAATCTTTGCTCAGTTTGTCAGGCTACCTACTAGAGGGAATGCCTGTTTGGTTTAGTGTTCTCAAACAATCAAGATAGAATGAAGGAAACAGGTGAGAGAACCATATAGGGCAAGGGAAGTTATTTCACTTAACAATTAAGTGTTATGAAAGATGTCTAATAATCTTTGTATGCCTTGACAAGGCAGTTTGGTGCCTCTCTGTATAAGTGCACAACAATGTCCTAAAGAGGTTCCTCTGATAAGAAAAATTGGAAAACTGTATCTCAAATAAAGGTCAACAGTGTATCAAAGCTCAACAGCTCATCAAGTCTGTTTTCTTCAGAAAACCACAGGCTCAAGGTAACTGTTCATCTCTGAAAGGAACATCCACCAATGAGTTACCAGCAATAAAACAGTATTTGATAGCATTCTGACCAATCACCAACTTGTGATGTCAGACATGTACCTTAAAAGCAAGAACCTAGCTCGTTTCCATTGGTTAACTCACTGGCTCCTCATCTCTCCAACTTAACTGGCAATCTGACTTTTGCAATCATGTGACTGCAAGCAGTCCAACTAAGGACATAAAAGTTTCTCCAAAATACCAGATGGAAAGAGGGAGTCGGTAAAGTACAGAATCTATTTCTGAAAAAAAGAAGAAATCTTGGTTCACGAACCCACTGTTATTTTTGCCTGATCAACAAAACTAAACAGGTGGACTTTTTGTGTCAACATCCTGAATATCCAGGTACTGTATATTCAAGACCAAGCTACAGTATAGCCAGAATGAGCTAAGTTTTTCCCATGTGTCTAACTTACAGCTAGACCCCAAGAAGACAAACTGTGCACAGACAGTCTTTAAAGACCTACTGTAAGTTCAGCAAGAAGCAGAGTTTGTTGAGTAAAGCAAAGCTCTCTCTCTCTTTTGTCAGCATTGGTACGGTACCTTCCCAGCACAAAGCATCTGCAAGTTGGACCATGGACCAATCCACCCAAAGTAGTCAAGTACTCTGGTAATTTATGGTCAAAAGTTCTGAAATTTTACAGTAAATTAAAACACCACATCACCTACAGCATTCACAGAAATAGATTTTAAATCTGTTGTTTCCATAACTGTGTTTATGAAATTCCCTGTGAAAGGAAAGGTCGGAGGGTATAGTAACAACAAGATTAGGATTAGAGGAGTTATATATGCAGTACATGCTGTATACAGTATATAGTATAATATTAGTGGGGGTCACTATAATATCATTCTTAAAGGATTTTGTCTGAAATTTAACACCTTTTCCATTGACTTGGACACCATCCAGAGTAACATTCAGAGACTTCTTCAATGTTTTTCAAGATAACTTTCTACCATTTTCTCCCTCAAACAACAGATTAGCTTCTTTGATGTTGTTGTCAGAAAGAATACATAATTTTAATGGCTAACAGCTCCACATCATCTTCCCTTCATAACTAACTTAATCAAATTCCTGAACTCCAAACTTTACCAGTTGCTCACTACAGAGAAGGATAAAAAACTCAATCATCTTTTACAGAAAAAAACATCAA